ATCTGAATTAAGAACGTTTTTTTAGGGGGGAGATGTGTGACGGAAGGATTTTCCACTTTGAAACGAATTTAAGGCTCAACGGGAACTCGGTGCTTGACTCGCGATAAAACTGGGGAAAACTAGACTCAAATGGTAACTCGCTTGCGGGGAAGAGCCGTAACTTCTCTCGAGGTCCGGGATCAGACCACTAACTGGTACAGCAGTAGATAAAACAGAACAAAGCTTGGTTCCAACAGCGTTTATTCTTCAGCGGATCAACAGCAATAACTCGGCAGGACACGGCGGAAATAATCGATAATCAGTAAAAACTAACTTACTTATATATGATTTTTACAACCATTGAAGACAAAAGAATACAATAGAAATATAAACAGAAATCACTTAGAGTTAAATGAAAACCAAATACAAATTCTATTTTAAACCTGAAATCTTTTGTTACTGTTGCTATTTTAGAAAGTAAAAGTACTGAGACAAAGACCTAGCCCTAGCCAGATTAGCAAAACAGCGTTTATGTACAAAGTGTTACAATATAAATTAAATTGCAAGTTCCGCTATCAGCTGTTTAAATAGGAAAAGCGCAGACTAATTGAAAGTTTTCACCTTAAACAAAAACCGATCTATTTTTAAAATTACAAGACAGCAAAACCTTTCATATTCAAAATTCGGTTATTACCTCTCTTTAACTAACAACTTAATGAAATATACTTCCGCAAATAAATATAACCAAGTTGCAATTAAAACGAGATGCACTTGCATGAAAGGCGTTTCTATGAATAAATGTCGCCCGGTAGTAAAATCACAAAAAATAGACTAAAGTCAATTAAACCATTATTAAGCAATTAAGTATTCTTTCAAGAGTCAACATTGACGTAAAATGTATATAACTGAAAAGAGAACGAGCAATTACTTCTGTTTGTTAAGGAACACTGTTGGCTTTTCTACGATTATAACCTAGCGAACACAAAGCAAATGAAACAGGATAATAAAAATGGCGCGAGCTCTTTTGGCAGCTATAAACGGTCACCCGCACAATTTACACAAATATAGAGTTACAACAAAAGAATTAAAAAGCGATAACCAAAATCAAGTGTCGCAATGAAACTTAGATTAACCGAACTGAATTAAAATAACCTACAATTACCAAATCCCTTACTAGAAACTAAGTTGAAAATGCCTTACGCTAAATCTGGAAAAACATATTACAAATCAACAAAAATAGCTATATTCTCCCACCTTAAGTTGAGCCGTCCTCGGCGAAAAACACAGAAACTATTAATTAGAAAGTCCACAAAGAAAAGTTCAACTACCAGAGTTCAGTGGACATGGCCGAGAGGTCAGCCAAGGTGGTGGTCATGCATCCACTCGAGAAAGGCGGCGATCTTTTTCGACATGGTTAACACCCGCTCGCCGGGAATCAGGAGACGTGCGGGCGGACATGAAATATCTTCCAGGTTCCGTACAAGGATTGGCACTGGCAGAGGCTCCAATCAAGCCACGAGGTCCAGGAAAAAGGCATGCTGTTGGAACCCTTTCACCCAAAGGGTTAAGGCCGCGGGAACTGGACGTCCCTGTTCGAATTTGTCCAGGAGCATGTCCTGGATGTAAGCCAGTAATGCGGTACTCACCCTGAACTGCGGAAGGCCAGTGGAGTTGATTTCCCAGCCATGAAGGCGGGACTGGTGCCGGTACGTGGCAATGGCCCGGAGAGATTGTAATAGGAGTGCTGTGGAATCGAAGCGGCGGAGGTTGAAGGTCTGATGCCGTACAGAACCAAAGGCAAGCGCTTTGGTAAAGAACTCCTCGTCGCCGTGCTGGAAACCATCCACAAGGACTACAGCAGAAATGCAGGCCATGATCCGGTGAGTTTTTGTGAAAAGGCTGAACCTTGCTTAGTCGAAGAGCGTACTTTCGGTGTAAGCGAAAAACTGGAAATTGGTCGAACTGGAAAAGAGGCCGGTATTTATGGGCTCAGTGACACCCAAAAGCAAATTTTACGGCGTGCCAAAAAGTAAATAACATTGAGGAATGAAAACGGAATATGAGCAGCTGGGTCCAAATGGAGAAAAAGAAAAACATGGTCAGTGAGTGCAAAAAAAATTGCAAAACTGGTAGAATAACAACTCTAAACTGCGCAAAATGAACTGGAAGGGGCCGGAGAAAACGTATAGGGGTAGACTGGAACGAATGAGAAATTAGTACCGCAAAAATCGAAGGAGGAATGAAAAATGGCGCAAAAGAAAACCCACAAGGCTCACACAAGGACAAAGAACTGAAAAACTGGTGAATAGAAAAACTAAACAAAGCGAGAGCGTATGGAAAAGGGTGAAGGGTGTCCGGAAGTGTCACTATCATTAGTCGAAAAGTAAACCAGGAAGAGCGAAACGTGGCCGGTTGAAAATGAGTAACCCTGGCAACGAGAAAATAGACGACATGGTCCACGGACACCTAAGCATACAGAACACCACATAAATAGAATACCACAGATAGCAAATAAAACGGATAAAAGTTGTCGCTGATGGTGTTGTTAGAGACTGGTCTGGAATGTGTGTTATGTGGGTTGTAAAGGTGTTGTTGCTGGGCGAAAGGTTCGGGAACAATACAAGACAATAAGAGGGGCCCGTGCAAAAAAATATAGACACAGAAACACGCGAATTAAACGGAATTATTCCTGGTCAGTTAAACAGAGGTCGCGGCAGAAGTTGTTCGGGGAACTGAAACTCGTTTTGAGAGCACACAATAAAAGACAAGCACAATAATTAAATCAAAAACAGCGACAGCTAGAGAAAGGTAAACTAAAGTGTGAGATATTCCGCTATTTGGAACCTCCTTAACGGATGCAATATCCGAATTAAGGTTAGTGAGGTGTCAAGTAAAATCTTGATCGAGGGAATTGCAAACTTTATTCAAGGAAACAAGGGTCCGGTTATCAATGGTAAGAGGTTTGAAATCAAAAACTGACGTGTTGACAGCACAGTGTCATTGTATGCCGAGACTGTTTGCCAAGGGATAAAATGAAATTGACCACTATGAAACAAAGGAAATTAAAAGGTCAATTTCGTAGGACAATTAGCAAGGCCGGTCGATTGAGAATGGAACGAATAGTCACAAGGAAACTGATATATGTGAAGTGGAAAAATAGGGAGGTGAATGGTGTCATTGTGCCGTTGAATGGGCAACACAAGCTGATCGGTTGCTACGTTAAGGCGACCACCGATATGCAGCATCTGATGTAAAGAAGTACAAGACGGTAGCTCAACATGTGTATGTTGATAGACTAGTTTTGAAGCAGAAGACCATTTTGGTCCCGACCAATCTGGAGAATCGACGGTCGCTAATAAATCTTTTGGGCAAAGAATAGTGTCAGACGTCTTAGCACAATGGTGTAATTCAGTTTCTTTGATTAAGTACTGTTTGGTTTGACAGGTCAACAATCGTAAGTCATGACACGGCAGTATTCCTCCATAACAAGTATCATTAACTCGACATGTGATTGGGGTCAGCTGTTCCATTGTACATACCGAAGCTGATGAAGAAAGGACCGGAAGGAGAAGCAAGAAATGCATTTGTAACTTACGTTGTGATGGAAATTTAGTGTCTACGAGCGGGTTTAAAATAACAGAGAAACCGTTTCTTAGTGCATCGATAGCGGGTGCGTGAGTGTCCACCGATGAAAGTTAGTAGTTATGATAACGGGTCTTCAAGCGAGTTCTAGTACCTTACCTCAAACTGAATTAATCGGTGAATTGACGGGAAAAAAAAGTAAAATTCCCATATATGCTTCCGATTTCAAAAGAGAGTATCTTTTCGTAAGAGGCTTAAATCTTTATTTTAAGTGTTTTACAAAAAAACTAGATTACTTAAATCATGGTTTATTTGAAAGTAACATTTCTAATAAAATTAAGAAGTATATGAAAAGATTTCTCAGAGCACAAGAAAAAGGTAAGTTTAATCATATTAATAATCTTATTATTCCAAGTTATGATCTTGATATTATTCGTGATATAATATTTATTAATGAACAGTTTGAACTATATAAAATACGTTATGATTTTTTTTGTGATTATAGTAATGATGATTATGATAATGATAATGGTGAGTATTTCGTTGATGGTAAACCTTATCCTGGTTTTAAAGAATTTTATGATATTTTTAAAATGATTTTTAATCAAATAAAATATCACGATTATAACTATTATAATAGTGATAGTGATAGTGATAGTGATAGTGATAGAGAGGAATTAGATTTTCCATATACAGAGAGTGACTTTGAAGATTTTTTTACTATATTAAATAGTACTTATGAGAGTGATTATTTCTAAACTTATAAATTGGTGGATTGAAGGAAAATGTAATTATAAATTAAAGGTTTTCGTATTCTAATATAATCAAATATTAGAAGACGTCATGTCTAACCAGTTAGTTAATGGTTTTAAGGGTTCTCAACCTTTTATAAAATATAAAGAATTCCATAATTTATCACAGGATGAAATGAGAAATATAATAGCACAGGAAAAAAAAGCACTTAAGAAAGAATATAAGGATTTAAAACAGGGAAAAAGATTGTATAAACAATATAAAAAATTGGTAGAAGCTAGAAATCAAGTAAAAAAAGGAGTAGATATAAAAAAGAAATTCAAAAAGAAAGCCAAAGCAAAAAAGGTAAAAACATTTGAGGACTATTTTGAGAATTTTATAAAAAATAAAGATATTCCCAAAGACACACCAGATTATTTACGTAAAGCTCTTGAGAGAGCTTTGTATGAACACGAGCAAGGTATTGAAATAGAAAATCAGCTCTTGATAAATTTGCTACTAAATATATTTTTGAAGGAATACCTGGTATTAGACCTCCTGAATATTTTAATAGAGTGTTTACTACTGTAGAAGGAATGTTAAAAAATAATAGAAACGTTAAGTTTAAAATGGTTTTAGTTTGCTTATTTGAAAGAATTAGTGTTAAAACGGATAAAGGAGTAGAAAAATTAGAAGAATATGAAGCATTTTTTAGTACAAGTAATTACAAAAATCTTAAATCTACAAATATAGAAAAATTATTAAAAAAAGGTTTTGGTAAAATTTTAAAAGATGTAGAGGAATTTAATTTAAATTCAAGTAATTGGGTTTTTAAGGAAGTTTTAAGACTTGAAGTTCATACTGTTGAATATAATCCAATAAAAGGTTCATCTTACATTGATCTTCCACAATGGATAAAAAATAAACAAGCAATTATTAATATTAAAAATAGAGATGACAAATGCTTTATTTGGAGTATTCTTAGATATCTTTATCCAAAAGAAAAAGATGCTCAATATTTGAAAGACTTAAGAAAGTATGAGTTTTCACTTAACACTAAAGGTCTTACTTTTCCATTGAAATTAAAAGACATTACCAAATTTGAAAAACTTAATCCAGAGATATCAGGAATAAATGTTTTTTCAAATGATGGTATGACTATTTATCCTTTGAGAATGGCTGAGAGAGATTGTAAAAATACTATTGATTTATTTTTGCATGAAGAAGATGGTGATTCACATTATTCACTTATTAAAAATTTTCATCGTTTGATTAAGTCACAATTAACTAAAAGTAAGGATGGTAAAATATTTATTTGTAAGAGATGTTTTACTCATTTTACTAAAGAAGAATTACTAGAAAAACATATTAAATATTGTTCTAATAATCAAACAGTAGCTGTAAAAATGCCTGAACTAAATACTTATTTACATTTCAAAAATTACTATAAACAACTTCCTATTCCTTTTGTAGTTTATGGAGATTTTGAATGCTTTACCAAAACAATGAATAGTTGTACTCCTAATCCAAAAGAATCTTATAATTATAACTATCAAAAACACGAACCATCAGGATTTTGTTTTTATGTTAAAAGTATAATACCTGGAATTCATATTAAACCAATTATTTATACTAAAAATTCTGAGGATGAAGAAATTGCTAAAATATTTGTGGAAAAAATTGCAGAAGTAACAAAATCAATTTATAATGATTTTTATTGTAGACCAAAACCTCTTAGACTAACTAGTGAAGAACAAAAATTATTTGAACAAGCTAAAACTTGCCATATTTGTAGTTGTGAATTAAAAAATGATAAAGTAAGAGATCATTGTCATTTCACAGGAAAGTATCGTGGTGCCGCTCATAACAAATGTAATCTTATGTGTAAAAAACCAAGAGTATTACCAGTTATATTTCACAATCTTCAGGGTTATGATGCACATCTATTTATTAAACAACTTGCTAAATTAGAGGGAAAATTAGATTGTATTCCATCTACTGAAGAAAAATATATTTCGTTTTCTAAAACTATTAAAGTTGGTGAGTACAAACATATTAGTGGTAAAATTCTTCCAATAAATTTTGAAATAAAATTTTTAGATTCATTTAAATTTCTTCAAACATCACTTGCCAATCTTGTATCAAATTTATCATCAGATGATTTTAATAATACAAAACATGTATTTAAGTCTAATACTTCATTATTAACCCGTAAAGGAGTTTTTCCATATGACTATGTTTCATCAATTGATAAATTATCTGAAACACAATTACCACCAAAAGATGAATTTTATTCAAAACTTAATGATGAAGATATATCAGATGAAGATTACCAACACGCAATAAAAGTGTGGAATAAATTTGGATGTAAAACAATTAAAGATTATCATGATTTATATCTCAAGTCTGATGTTTTACTATTAGCAGATGTATTTGAAAAATTTAGATCAACTTGTCTTAAACATTACAAGCTAGATCCAGCTCATTACTACACATCTCCAGGGCTGGCTTGGGATGCATGTCTAAAAATAACAGGACAACATCTAGAATTATTAAGTGATTATGATATGTTAATGATGTTTGAGCGTGGCATTCGTGGTGGCATTACACATATATCAAAACGATATGCAGAAGCAAATAATAAATATATGAAAAATTATGATCCTGAAAAGAAATCAACGTTTATTCAATATTTGGATGCAAACAATCTTTATGGATGGGCTATGAGTCAAAATCTTCCAACTCATGGATTTAAATGGATGAAAGATATAACATTGGAAAAGGTAGATGAAATTTTAGATAAAACAAATCATAGTATGTCAAATAATGGAAAAAAAGGATATATATTTGAAGTTGATTTGGAATACCCTAAAAATCTATGGGAAAAACATAATGATTATCCTCTTGCACCTGAGAATATAAAAGTTAATGGTGTTGAAAAACTAATATGTCATTTTAAACCCAGAAAAAATTACGTTGTGCATTATCGAAATCTTAGACTATATCTTGAAATGGGTATGAAGATTACTGCTGTACGTAGAGGAATATCATTTTATCAATCTCCTTGGATGGAACCATATATTAGAAAAAATACTGAACTTCGAAAGACAGCAGCTAACAGTTTTGAAAAAGACTTTTTTAAATTAATGAATAACTCAGTTTTTGGTAAAACAATAGAAAATATAAGGAAAAGACAAAATATACATCTTGTTGATAACCGTAAGAAAGCTCTCAAATTATCAAGTCGTCCAAATTTTGATAGATGTACAATATTTGATAGCAATCTTATTGCAGTTCATATGAAAAAAACTGAAGTGTATTTTAACAAACCAGTATATGTTGGTCAATCAATTTTAGATTTATCAAAAACTCTAATGTTTGATTTTCATTATAAATACATCAAAAAGAAATATGGAAAAAAATCTGAGTTATTGTTTACAGATACAGACAGTCTAATGTATGAAATTGAAACAAAAGATTTTTACAAAGATATATACATTGATGTAAAAAATAAATTTGATACTTCTGATTATCCATCAGATCATCCTTCCGGTATAATTACAGGAGCTAATAAAAAAGTAATAGGGATGTTTAAAGATGAAGTAGCAGGAAAACAGATAACACACTTTGTTGGATTGCGACCCAAACTTTATAGTTTTAAAATTGAGGAGGAAAGTGAAGTTCGAAAGTGTAAAGGAATAAAGAAAAATGTTATAAAAAAGAAATTAGATTTTGATGACTATGTTAAATGTTTATTTTCAGGTGAAAAAAAATTGAGATCTATGAAAATAATCAGAAGTGAGAAACATGATATATATTTAAGAAGTATATGAAAAGATTTCTCAGAGCACAAGAAAAAGGTAAGTTTAATCATATTAATAATCTTATTATTCCAAGTTATGATCTTGATATTATTCGTGATATAATATTTATTAATGAACAGTTTGAACTATATAAAATACGTTATGATTTTTTTTGTGATTATAGTAATGATGATTATGATAATGATAATGGTGAGTATTTCGTTGATGGTAAACCTTATCCTGGTTTTAAAGAATTTTATGATATTTTTAAAATGATTTTTAATCAAATAAAATATCACGATTATAACTATTATAATAGTGATAGTGATAGTGATAGTGATAGTGATAGAGAGGAATTAGATTTTCCATATACAGAGAGTGACTTTGAAGATTTTTTTACTATATTAAATAGTACTTATGAGAGTGATTATTTCTAAACTTATAAATTGGTGGATTGAAGGAAAATGTAATTATAAATTAAAGGTTTTCGTATTCTAATATAATCAAATATTAGAAGACGTCATGTCTAACCAGTTAGTTAATGGTTTTAAGGGTTCTCAACCTTTTATAAAATATAAAGAATTCCATAATTTATCACAGGATGAAATGAGAAATATAATAGCACAGGAAAAAAAAGCACTTAAGAAAGAATATAAGGATTTAAAACAGGGAAAAAGATTGTATAAACAATATAAAAAATTGGTAGAAGCTAGAAATCAAGTAAAAAAAGGAGTAGATATAAAAAAGAAATTCAAAAAGAAAGCCAAAGCAAAAAAGGTAAAAACATTTGAGGACTATTTTGAGAATTTTATAAAAAATAAAGATATTCCCAAAGACACACCAGATTATTTACGTAAAGCTCTTGAGAGAGCTTTGTATGAACACGAGCAAGGTATTGAAATAGAAAATCAGCTCTTGATAAATTTGCTACTAAATATATTTTTGAAGGAATACCTGGTATTAGACCTCCTGAATATTTTAATAGAGTGTTTACTACTGTAGAAGGAATGTTAAAAAATAATAGAAACGTTAAGTTTAAAATGGTTTTAGTTTGCTTATTTGAAAGAATTAGTGTTAAAACGGATAAAGGAGTAGAAAAATTAGAAGAATATGAAGCATTTTTTAGTACAAGTAATTACAAAAATCTTAAATCTACAAATATAGAAAAATTATTAAAAAAAGGTTTTGGTAAAATTTTAAAAGATGTAGAGGAATTTAATT